GTGGAATTGCTTTATTGTAAATAGTTAAAAAATTATAATGTTTTAAAAAGAAAACTGCCTTTTGGATAACCTCTTATTAAATAACTATCTTATCAAATTGATTTTAAATTATATAATAATTTTAAGACTTTAGATGTACAATTTTAATCTTTGTATTAATTTCTTTATGTAGGTGATTCTGGCTATTCACTAGAGCCATGGCTCATGACCCCTCTCGCCGAAACATCTTTGGAGGAAGAAAATTATAATTTCAGACATAGACTTGGAAGAAACATCATCGAGAGATGCAATGGGGTATTAAAAGGAAGATTTAGATGCCTCTTAAAAGAAAGAGTGCTGCACTATACGCCAACAATTGCCGGCATGATTGTGAATGCGTGTGCAGTGCTGCATAATATGTGTATGAGAGATGGGTATCATATTACATATGATACCCTCTCAGAAGATGACATGCCATTCAATACTGGCCTGCCAGCATGTGAGGGTAGAAAAGCTGCGAGAATTTGCGACTGAATTATTTACCATGTTGTAATGAAAAAATTTCTCTTGTTTAAATAAAAATTTGTAATTAATTTTATATTTATTTATTTAACTGTGTGTTTAAATTAACTTCTTTATAAGCGATAGAAAAAAATAAGTATATCAGCTATGTGATGATGCTTCAAGTTAGCAACAAATACACAAATATAACAACTGCAGAATAAATTGTTACTAAAAAACCAAAAAAAAATATATAAAAGTTTAGTAAATTACAAACTCGGAGCACAAAAATACTGAGCCAATCGAAGTGGCAATATTTCTCCCTTTGAGCCTTTTAAAAAAGACAAGAAAATTTGGTGGATTTTGGTTATATCAAAATACTTAATACCAAGTTTTTTTTATTTGCATTTAGTAAGTCATATAATTAAAAGACATCTAAATACTGAAGGTTCCCAATACTATTAACTGCTGCTTCACAGAAGATGGATGATGTTTTGACGCTACATCCTTCGGAAGATGAATCCCTTTTCGATGAATATCCGAAGGACGGCGAGCATTCATCCTCTTCCACTTCAAAGAAAAAGAAATAATGCCAATTTCTCTTATTTCTTGGAACTGTCGCAGTGCAAGAAATAAAATGTCTGATATCAGAGATATTGTTTTTAAATATCAACCCACATGTTTAGCACTTCAAGAAACATTTTTATCCCCATCAGATAATTTTAAACTTCGTAATTATGTCTCCCATCGGAAAGATTGTGTCGATACTATTCGACCTACCGGTGGAGTTGCAATTTTAATCTCCACATATTTCCCATCATCTCGCCTTTTACTGTCTACTCCTGTACAGGCTGTTGTCGTTCAAGTTTACTTTAACATCCCCATTACAATCTGCTCTATTTATTTACCTCCGCATGCTTCGATACCCCAATCAGAGTTGAACTCATTACTTCATCAACTTTCTGCACCTTTCCTGCTATTCGGGGATTTTAATGGTCACAGCGAACTATGGGGTAGTTCCGACTCCAATGCTCGCGGACGCCAAATAGAAAATCTCATAACCGACCATAACTTATGTTTACTCAATCAAGGTGAGGACACATATTTTCATGCACCCACACAAACGTTCCATTGCATTGACCTAGCTTTATGTTCGCCTGCACTTTTACCTTTTTCACAACTTTCGATCGATAATGATCTTCATAACAGCGATTACTTTCCTATAATTATTTCATATATAGCTACTGTTAATAATACTCCCAGACCCTCTGTTTTCATATATCACCGGGCTGATTGGAATCTCTTCAATAAGCTTGCTGATATCACTGAAGATATGGTAACTGATAACAATATAAATGACGCAGTTGAGAATGTAACTTCAGTCATAATACATGCTGCTGAAATTAGCGTACCAAGGACATCTACCTTTCCTCACCGTCTCCGTAAGCCTTGGTGGAATGCTGAATGCTCTAAAGCTCACAAAGAGAAGCAGATATTATGGAATACCTTCCGTCGCTATCCAACAAACGATAACTTTGTGGCTTTTAAACGAGCTAGAGCTTTTGCTCGCCGGACAAGACGCCATTCCCAAAGGGACTCTTGGAAGCGTTACGTTTCATCCATCACATCTACGACATCTCCCAAACAAGTCTGGTCGAGAGTCAAGAGGGCCAATGGTATCTACCGTGAATTTCATCCTCCGGTATTTGATATAAACGGTACCACGTACTCTGACCCTGTAGATGTGAGTAACATCTTGGGTGAAACTTTCGCTGCTATCTCCAACTTTGACAGCTACAGTCAAACCTTTCAAGCTCACAAACTAGTTGCTGAAAGCCGCAAAATAAATTTTAAAACGAGACAACATTTTCAATATCACCGAGCATTTACAGTGCTAGAATTACAATGAGCACTCGCTAAAGCCCCCAATACAAGCCCTGGCCGCGATGGTATTGCATATTGCATGCTTCGCAACCTGAATACCGCGTCCTTGCACAACATTCTCGTGCTTTTCAACAGAATATGGTTGGAGCAGATCTATCCAAATAGCTGGCGTGAGGCGATAGTTATACCCATCTTGAAACCGGGTAAAGATCCGACAGAACCAACGAATTATCGTCCAATCGCGCTAACGAGTTGTTTTTGCAAAATTCTCGAGCGTATGATAAACTCTCGTCTTGTTTATTACCTCGAAAAGAAACATCTAATTCCCAACTTTCAAAGCGGTTTTCGCAAGGGTAGATCGACTATGGATAACATTGTAGCTTTAGAATCTCGTATACGTAATGCTTTTGTCCGACGTAGCCATTTTATCTCTATCTTCTTCGATATTGGGAAGGCGTACGATCGGACATGGCGCTACGGAATTCTGAAGGCTTTGTTTGACATGGGTCTCCGTGGTCATCTCTCTGCATTTATCAAAAACTTCCTGAGTCAGAAGTATTTTCGAGTCAAATTGGGTAGTACTTTCTCTGATGCCTTCATTCAATCCGAAGGTGTTCCACAGGGTAGCGTCCTTAGTGTCACACTTTCATCGTTCATGCCTCTCTCATCTTACATATACTACCACCAACAGTTTTTGATTCCCTTTATGTTGACGATCTTAACGTCTCGTGCTCAGGATCTGACATGAGAGTAATAGAACGTCAACTACAACTGGCAGTGAATAATATTATAGAATGGTGTGACCAGAACGGTCATACCCTTTCACCATCCAAGAGTTCATGCATGCATTTCTGTCGACTACGCAGACTACATAATAATCCTACCATTTACATTAATAATGCAGCTATACCCATTGTAGAGAAAGCAAAATTTTTGGGAGTGATTTTCGACAAGTTGACATTTGGCCCACATATTAAACAGTTGCGAAAACGCTGAGAGAGGACTATGAACATGTTACGTGTCATTTCAAATACGCATTGGGGTGCAGATCGTATCGCATTACTACGCATATATCAGGCACTTATTCTACGCATATATTAATCTAGCGCGTATTGATTATGCTTGTGCAGTATATGGCACTGCCTCAACTTCACACCTTAAGAGGTTGGATACAGTGCATCATACTGCCTTGCGTATATGTAGCGGCGGATTTTGTACTTCTCCAGTGGAAAACCTGTATGCTGTGTGTCACCAATTGTCTCTAGATTTGAGACGAATGCAGCTCGGTTTAACATATTATTATCACGTAATCTCATCCTCATCACACCCTCTTAAACGGGAAACACTCCCAGTAAGTTTAGAACGAATTTATGATGCTCGACCCTCACATGTTCGCCCTCTTAATGCTCGTATGCACTCGGTCAACCAATCATTCAATATCTGTGAATCTACTACACAATGTTTCGATCACTCGCTTATTCCGAAGTATATAGTAAGTCTCAAGTAGCGCCTATCATTTTTCAGCAACTATACAAAGCTCATCATCATAAATATTGTCAACATGTTCCGGTTTTCACAGATGGCTCAAAATCTCCTGGCTATGTAGGCTGTGGTATTGTTATTTGACACCTACAGTTATAAAATACCAACTATTTGTTCCATATTCACCGCTGAAGCCGTTGCAATTCTGTTGGCATTAAGGCTAATTTCAACCAGTTTGAATCGGAAATACTGCGTTTATTCGGATAGTATGAGCGTATTGCGCCAATTCAAGCATTTTGACAATGAAACTCATCCCATTTTGTGTTTTATACAGCATTTACTATTTAAACTTCAGAAGAATGGTTTTGATCTTTTGTTTTGCTGGGTTCCAAGTCACGTTGGAATCCCAGGCAATGGATTTAGCCGATACAGCAGCGCGATCTGCCACTACTGCCCTAAACTTATCTGTACCATTCTCAGATGTAAAAATACATATTAAAAAGTATATAAAATCTTTATGGCAGCAGCAGTGGGATAACCAAGTGAATAATAAGTTGCACGCTCATAAGTCAAATTTGGAACCCTTCCCTGTGTTGCGACTACGTAGTGCAGATGTTAAGCTTACCCGTCTGCGAATCGGACACACCAGACTGACCCATCTACATCTGTTGTTTGGTGAATCACCTCCTCAATGCAACACTTGTGATGTTTTACTTTCGATTCACCATATTTTAATCATTTGCCCGTGTTTTAACAGACATCGTCTTACCTTTTTTGGTAGTTCTATTTTATCTATGGGAGATTTGTTGGGTGACTCTCATCATCCTAACATTTTTGCATTTTTACGTGCTATTGGCATTTTAAATTGTATATAAGTTTTATTTTATTCATGATTTATTCACTTTTTACCATTTTACTTGTCTCACAAAATTTTACTGTGTTTTAACTTTGACATGATCTCAGCATTTTTACGTGTCGTTGGTATTTTAACTGCATATAAAAATTTTAACACGTCTATTGTTTTATACACTTTTGTAAATATCTTATCACCTTCGTCCACTTTACTTACTACGTATTATACTGTACTCATACTTTATATCTGATTTTATTCATACTTTTTATCTGGTTTTATTTAAATCATTAATCTTGTCTTATTCACCTGCTAGTACTGTTTTATCAGTTATAAATATATTAAAATTAAATTTGAATGCCCTTAGACTTTTAAACTATTTTACCGTACTGTTTGGCGCAGCATGTCCTCATTTGGACCTTGTGCCACTAAACCCTACATTCAGTCAACCCAATACTATTAAAAATTATTGAATTTTTAAAACTCATTTATTCCTAATTTAATATGAATCGATATTATTCCTTTTAAATGTTAAGACTTTATTTCATAGCCGTTTACGAACACACAGAGCGAATTAACTTTCAGAATTATGATGTAAAAAACTGTTGTGATATATTAAAAAGCCTATCTATTAGATGTGATGTATATAAAAAATGCCCTAAAAGTCTTAAAAAATACTTAATTTTACTCCAGATTCCAATGCTTCCAAAAGCTAACTGTGCCCATTATTCATAAAATATTAAAAACACTGGAAACCGCAAGGCAACGAAACATTTTAACCTCTTTGTAGGCACTTGCTCGTATGCGGAAGAGGTCTTCGCTGCTGGAACAGGTGTTGGGGATTCCACGGGTGTCTCCAACTGACTGACTGAGTGCTGGCTGTGGCATGGCTCAGACATTGATTCGGCTTCATCCACACTGAAGCTCAATTCTACGAATCAGTCCGCTGGAGACCCAGGCAAAATTACTTCAATAGATTCAGGCACCTATAATATTAAAAATTCAATTAAAGAAATGTGATGAAGTTTAATAGAACAATGTGAACTGTGCCTTTTTGCATAATTCATAGCGAAAATCAACATGGTAAAGGAAAAATCTCATTCTGAAAAAAGCTGACAATTTTTATAAACATATTGAAATAAATAATATAAAACACAAAAACGAACTTACTGGAGAAAGCCTGTGCTCCTTTATAGTGAGTCAGTCCTTTGTACGCATCTGTACATATCAAAGCTAAAACTCTTTCCTCCAACTCTGTTAATTCTTTTAGAGGGGGAACTCCTCCGGTGCCATTAGCTTGCTTTACTCTTTTTAAATACTTTTTCTTTTATCTCTTGCTTATAATCAGACCAAGACTATAACAAAAAAAAAATGAGAAACTGTAGAATTACACAAGATTTATTATGAATTATTTAATAAACAAAATTTATATTAATTTATAAACCTGCAAAAATTCACTTCGAAAATCACAAAAATCAGTTTTTTAAATGATGTTACTCATACGCAGAATTTAGCAGTAGAAATGAATAATATCGGATTTCATAAACCATGTGGAAACAGAATCTACTGAAAAAAATGTAAACAAAAAGAAAATAGAATCTTTGCTAAAAAAATACCAAAATTAGCTATAATAATTTCCTATATCGCTTGAAATATATCTGAGTATTTAAAAACTGTGTAAAAAAATCAGAACTAAAGAAACATTTGAAAATTTTACATTAAATAACAATTTTTTAAACTTAAAAAAAAAAAAAAAATTCAAATACTTAAAACTAAAAAGAAATCGGAAGAGATTCATTGTTTTGCTTAATAAAACGACAACTTATTTAAAAAAATGTTCAAATATTCATACCTGAAAAGGGGAAAGGAACATAGCTTAGATTAATGATAATATCGACATAAACCGAGTGTAAAAGAGTGTAGTATTCATTGACTTCATGGTCCGAACTTTGCTTTCATATTAGTTTTCAAATTATTGAAATGATTAATTTATTCTGCTACGCATATTTATTTAGATGTAACCATAGAAGAAATGTCTAAGGATATTACTTTTATCCAGCACAGTAAACTGCAATAGTTTTATGTATTTTAGATATGAAGGAACAAATTCTTAAGTGATCTTGGCGATGGCAATTGGAGTGAATATGGCAAAATGCTCATGATAAAATTATTATTTGGTATTCCAGTTCAATTTGCTAATTTAAAGGTTATTTACATTGTGAAATGATGTATTACAGATGGTTTTCATAATAAAAAGGTGTAGTAAGATTAATAATTACCAAAATTAATATTACTGTTTAATTAAAATATTATTGGCTTGTTATGTTTCATTATATCATTGGCTTGTTATGAAACTAGAAAACTTATTTTTAATAATATTTAAAATAAATATTAATTAATCATTGTCAAAAACCAATAATAATTAGATGTTATATAGAATGAATTGACTAATTTTGTGCTAAATTCTGTTGCAGTTGCAGAATTTTAAACTGGTACCTTGTTTTAAGCGAAATTGGCTACCAAAAAATTTAACTAGTGCAATTAGTAACATAAAATTGATAAACTGTGTTTCTTACCTTCATCCATTTGTCGACAGATTTGATGCATCCACCTTCCGAATTCAGCATCTTTGAAAGCACTTCCCAATGTTGATGCTTTAGCTTAGAGGTAAAAGTGCCGGTAAGGGTACCTTTATTGAGATCAGGATTCTTTTCCAGATATTCAACAATCATTGCTTGTTGGGGAACATTAATTTTTGTGCGTGAAGCCATTTGAAAATACTACGCTGTATGCACTTCACTCTATACTTCAAATAAACACAAGCTTGGCACAAACACACACACAAAATAAGAACACACAAAATTGTTGAAAATGTATGAATGTTTAAGCTTTCATTTTTAAGTTAATGCGATTTTAGCTCGCATAGAAGAAGAGAAAACAAACATATTGTTGCCAGATTAATAAATTAGAATTATAGTAATTTTCTAATTGGTCAAAGTTAGTCCCGCCTACAAACTCCAATTTCACCGGAATCGTGCGGAATGGCGATTTCGATTCCGATATGCTCATGTTACGGCAAAGTGGGTTTTACGAAATTGGCAATCCGGTGAAAGCTAGTTTCCGAGCGGAATAAATTTCGATGAGTTGGTAATAGGGCCCCACTGAGGGAATCATGTGACTAGTCGAAACCATTTGGTAGAAAGGGGGGATGGGTCATATGACTAAACAACGAAAACAATTCAGCGTAAACAATTCAGCGTAAACTCTTTCGTTTCATGCTTCTCTTTTTGAACCCTGAAACTGAGTGTCGCAATATTCTTCTTTCAAAAGAAGGGGAGGGGTGGAGCGGTGTGTGATACAATGCAAAGTAAGCGGAGTAGTGCTGATGGATTTTGTTTTCCTGAGTGTTTGTGAGAGTTCAGAATTTTTTTCGGTAGTTGATATCTCGGTTAAAGCGGAGACTCGGATAACCGTATTTACAAATATGACAATGATGAATTTACGTTAAAATGATATACGATAGCTAAGAGATGATGAAAAGTTTTAGTAAGTTATTAGCGCGGCAAGGCGCGTTCTTCGTTTTTACATCTACTGTTTTTAAAAGCTATCCAGTCCTATTCGTGTTCTGCCGCTAGGGGTCTCAAGCTGCAACATACAGTTTAATTTGCTGTACGGAGTGAAACGACTTTAGGTGCATTTTATTTGAAGAGATGGTAAGACTCGTTTAATGTAAGCACTCATAAAAAAATCCATATGTTTCGCAGAGAACTTTTTAAATTACAACATTTTTCTAATTTAGAAAAAACTAAATCACACACACTTTTTTTTTAATTTCCCTAGTTAACACGTAATTACAATAATTCAGAGCAATAGCAACGGACATTTAAAAGTTGTAACCGGAAGAGGAAATGCTTTAGTTTAAAATTTGCCGGGGCAGGTACATGGGCCAAGCATTAAGAGGAGGCCTGATCAAATCTTTTCCGCACCATCCACATCTTACACATTGTTTATATTTTAGTCTATCGCTCTCACAATGGAGAAGAAGATTTGGCTGTAGGGGAGAGTAAAAGCGAGTTGAGGAAGTTAACAGCAGAATATTGTGAAGTGATTGGCTTTATCGTTTCCAGGATTGTCGCAATGGCTCAGGGAATAAAGAGTTCGCTTTTCAATAAGATGAATCGGGTTTGAGTCTTAACAATGGCTGGTCAATGTGTATTCCCCATTCGGTTCGCAGCGACCACAGTGCTGACGTAAAATACCTTCTGGTAGACGGATCATGGGTTTAAGTCCCCTTGACGCCAGACTAACCGTGGCAGGCTTGCGTGGTTTTCCTCTTCATGTAACTCAAATGCGGGTTAGTTCATTCAAAAAGTCCTCCAGAAAGGCAAATTTCTTCCAATACTTGGTCCAGGAGTTCCCTTGTCTACTGGATAAGGTTCGAAATTACAAGGCTAAGGAGTTGAGCATTAGTGGCAGTAAACCCAAAAAATGGGTCGGCTATTCAACGACGGTTATAAAATAAAGTGGCTGGGGAGCCAATAAAACTAAGATTGATGCATTTGAAACCAAGATGCCAATAGCACATTTAGGTTTTGATTCATTCAGCATCAGTCTTTTTGTTTATTTACAGGCTTGTTCCTAAGTAGAGCAGACATGCCAAGTGCTCCGGGAAAATAAACAAAATTGATTGCTCCGATTGACCGAACACTTTCTCCGGAAAATGACGAAATTCCTTTAACCCTGCTGTTCTGTTCGTATTTACTACACGTATGTAACGTTCGGGTCAATATGCTATAACTATACTATATATAAAACTATACTTTCTTGTAATAAATGACAGGTGTCATTTAAGAAATAGTTTAAAGTATATTAATGTAAGTTTAAAAATATGTCTAATAGTATAAATCGCCCATAAAAATAAGAGAAAAATATCCGAAATTGAGACTTAAAATATAACACACCTATAAATATAACAGAAAAATATTGGAAATTTTAACATACCTTTATTTACAATTTGAACAGTAATATCTTACACGAGTTTTGCAAATGCGATTCTTACAATAGTAGCATAATATATTAGTTTTGTTATTGTTGCTTGATGGACTGAGCTTGCACGTTTGACAGGCAATGAAGTGTTCTCGGCTAAACTTGATGGTACGTTTTTCCTTTTACTCTGTACTTGTTTCACAATTTTCATTGAGTCCTCAGTTCTTGCAAAAATAGCCTTCGTTTAATCAGTTTGTTTTCGTTTCATTCACTGTGTATTGAAGTCCATAGAACAAATGCATTGTACGCAGACGTATCTAGCATGTTATAAAATACTATCATAGGCCAGCGATTTGTTTTTCTTTTACAAGTGTATGTGTTTAAAAGTTGATCAGGAGTATCCACAGCCCCTTTAGTTGAATTGTAATCTAAGATAATTTGTGGTTTTTTGTCAGGTCTGTTGCAAACTTCAATGTCATGATGCAAAGTGCTCATAAGAATAACTTTCCTGTTCTTTTTTGGAATGTAGTTGACAACAGTTGTGTCTGCTGTAAAATAAAATGATGAGCTGTGCACTTCTTTGCTTGGCATTTGTTCAATAAGTTATTTTTTATTTTTTCTAATGGTGACAAGCATTGTCATTTTCCGTTTCAGAAGAAGTTGTCCTAAGTTGTAAGATGTAAAAAAATTATCACATGTAACATTGTGTTCTGAATACCCATAAGTAAGATCACACACACTACTCGCATTCCTTGATTTTTCTCCGGCATTGACCCTTTTTCTTTTCCAATGTAACTTTGCGTGTTTAATGCATATGAAGTTTTACTGTCACATAAAGCTCATATTTTGATCCCATATTTAGATGGCTTACTTGGTATACATTGTTTGAAAGGACATCGAAATCCCACTAATTGTTCATCCACAGTAACATTTTCATTCGGATTATATAATTTTGGTAGAATTTATATCCACTTTTCCCAGATATCTCGTACTGCAGCTAATTTATCCAAATTTCTTCTTTTTTGACGAGTGGATTTATTATCAAAACGAATAACTCTGGATATGGCACAAAATGTTTCGAGACACATTGTCGCATGAAATATGTTTCTGCCAGTTTCTTTATCCTACAAACTTTTTGTTGATTCTACATATGATTTATAAACACCAGCTAATAATAAAAATCCAATGTGTGCTTGAAAATTTTTGCTTTCGATATTTTTCCACTTTTTTCCATAAACCTTTTCTCCTTCAATATTAGTAATTTTTATTATTTCGTTTTCATTTGAAGAATTGAATACAACTTGAAATATACTTTTTACATCTGTTATCCTTGCCGTTGCATATCGTGTGACACCCGGAGTAGTTGTTATTATATTAGCAGCGGTTCAAATTTCCACTTTATTTCACGGTTCTTGGACGGAATACTACTCTCTTTATAGTTCATTTGTTGAATATCGCTATCAGAACTTTCACTGTCATTATCATCATTCGTATGGTTTTTATACCCTTATGAAAATTTAAGGTATATTTAAGGTTGATTTGAGGTATTTTTGAGGTATAGTTCGTGGAAGTTCATTGACAAGGTTCATGAAAGTTTTTGAGTCTATTTAACCATTTATGTTATTAATTTTAATCTATCTTTATTATTTTATGAGTTATTAAACATCAAAATGGGTCCGAGACTTTATAAACACCCTGTATATTTGAATTTCTGTAAATGTTGTTAATGGTAATACTGTCTTCAGTGTATTTTATTTTGTGGCTGTGATACATGTCATGCTTTTTAGCTACGAGGATTGAATAGAAATGGCAGAAGATATTTATCTGAAAAGGAAAATTAATTTCATCCAGTTAATTTAAATGATAAAAAAAA